GGCAACACTAAAGGTATATGTGATATACATGTAATTGATGTGTACCTTACCAGTACTCGTAGTAGCTCCTGGGTATTTGATACCGGTGCAGTTGCTCACATTTGTAACTCAAAGCAGGAGCTGCGGAATAAGCGGAGACTGGCGAAGGACGAGGCGACGATGCGCGTCGGGAATGGTTCCAAGGTCGATGTGATCACCGTCGGCACGCTGCCTCTACATTTACCTATGGGATTAGTTTTAAACCTCAATGATTGTTATTTAGTGCCAGCTTTGAGCATGAACATTGTATCAGGATCTCGTTTAATTCGAGATGGCTACTCATTTAAATCCGAGAATAATGGTTGTTCTATTTATATGAGAGATATGTTTTATGGTCATGCTCCGTTGGTGAATGGTTTATTCTTAATGAATCTTGAGCGTAATGTTACACATATTCATAGTGTGAATACCAAAAGATGTAAGGTTGATAATGATAGTCCCACATACTTGTGGCACTGCCGCCTTGGTCACATAGGTGTCAAACGCATGAAGAAGCTCCATGCAGATGGACTTTTGGAGTCTCTTGATTACGAATCATTTGACACATGTGAACCATGCCTCATGGGTAAAATGACCAAGACTCCGTTCTCGGGAACAATGGAGCGAGCAACCAACTTATTGGAAATCATACATACTGATGTGTGCGGTCCAATGAGTGTTGAGGCTCGCGGTGGCTATCGTTATGTTCTCACCCTCACTGACGACTTGAGTAGATATGGGTATGTCTACTTAATGAAACACAAGTCTGAGACCTTTGAAAAGTTCAAGGAATTTCAGAGCGAGGTTGAGAATCAACGTGACAGGAAAATCAAGTTCTTGCGATCAGATCGTGGGGGAGAATACTGGAGTCACGAATTTGGCACACACTTAAGAAAATGTGGAATAGTTTCACAACTCATGCCGCCTGGAACACCTCAGCGTAATGGTGTGTCCGAACGTCGTAATCGCACTCTATTGGATATGGTGCAATCTATGATGTCTCTTATCGATTTACCGCTGTCATTTTGGGGCTATGCTTTAGAGACTGCCGCATTCACTTTAAATAGGGCTCCGTCGAAATCTGTTGAGACGACACCGTATGAATTATGGTTTGGGAAGAAACCTAAGCTGTCATTTCTAAAAGTTTGGGGATGTGATGCTTATGTCAAGAAACTTCAACCTGAAAAGCTCGAACCCAAATCGAAAAAATGTGTCTTCATAGGATACCCTAAAGAAACTATTGGGTATACCTTCTACCTCACATCCGAAGGCAAGATCTTTGTTGCCAAGAATGGGTCCTTTCTAGAGAAAGAGTTTCTCTCGAAAGAAATAAGTGGAACGAAAGTAGAACTTGATGAAGTATTACCTCTTGAACCGGTAAGTGGCGCAGCTCAAGAAAATGTTCCTGAGGTGCCTGCACCGACTAGAGAGGAAGTTGATGATGACGATCATGAAACTTCAGATCAAGTTGCTACTGAACTTCGTAGGTCCACGAGGACACGTTCTACACCAGAGTGGTACGGCAACCCTGTCTTGGAAATCATGTTGTTAGACAACGGTGAACCTTCGAACTATGAAGAAGCGATGGCGGGCCCGGATTCCGACAAATGGCTGGAAGCCATGAAATCCGAGATAGGATCCATGTATGAAAACGAAGTATGTACTTTGACTGACTTGCCCGATGATCGGCGAGCCATAGAAAATAAATGGATCTTTAAGAAGAAGACATACACGGATGGTAACGTAACCATCTATAAAGCTCGGCTTGTCGCTAAGGGTCATCGACAAGTTCAAGGGGTTGACTACGATGAGACTTTCTCACCCGTAGCGAAGCTGAAGTCCGTCCGAATCATGTTAGCAATTGTCGCATTCTATGATTATGAGATATGGCAAATGGACGTCAAAACGACATTCCTTAATGGTTTCCTTAAGGAAGAATTGTATATGGTGCAGCCGGAAGGTTTTGTCGATCCTAAGAATACTGACAAGGTGTGCAAACTCCAACACTCGATTTATGGGCTGGTGCAAGCATCTCGGAGTTGGAACATTCGTTTTGATGAGATGATCAAAGCGTTTGGGTTTACGCAGACATATGGAGAAGCCTGGATTTACAAGAAAGTGAGTGGGAGCTCTGTAGCATTTCTCATATTGTATGTGGATGACATACTGTTGGTGGGAAATGATATAGAATTCTTGGAAAGCATAAAGGCCTACTTGAACAAGTGTTTTTCAATGAAGGATCTTGGAGAAGCTGCTTATATATTAGGCATCAAGATCTATAGAGATAGATCGAGACGCCTCATTGGTCTTTCACAGAGTACGTACCTTGACAAGATATTGAAGAAGTTCAAAATGGATCAGTCAAAGAAGGGGTTCTTGCCTGTGTTTGCAAGGTACGAGATTGAGCACGGCTCAATGCCCGACCACGGCAGAAGATAGAGAAAAGATGAGTGTCGTCCCCTATGCCTCGACCATAGGGTCTATCATGTATGCTATGCTGTGTGCCAGACCTGATGTAAACCTTGCCGTAAGTTTGGTAGGAAGGTACCAAAGTAATCCCGGCATGGAACACTCGACAGCGGTCAAGAATATCCTGAAGTACCTGAAAAGGACTAAGGATATGTTTCTCGTTTATGGAGGTGACGAAGAGCTCGTCGTAAAGGTTACGTCGATGCTAGCTTCGACACAGATCTGGATGACTCTAAGTCACAAACTGGATACGTGTATATTTTGAATGGTGGGGCAGTAAGTTGGTGCAGTTGCAAGCAGAGCGTTGTGGCGGGATCTACATGTGAAGCGGAGTACATGGCAGCCTCGAAGGCAGCACAAGAGGCAATCTGGGTGAAGGAGTTCATTACCGACCTAGGAGTCATACCCAATGCGTCGGGCCCGATGACTCTCTTCTGTGACAACACTGGAGCTATTGCCCTTGCCAAGGAGCCCAGGTTTCACAGGAAGACCAGGCATATCAAGCGTCGCTTCAACTCCATTCGTGAAAGTGTTCAAAATGGAGACATAGAGATTTGTAAAGTACATACGGACCTGAATGTGGCAGATCCGTTGACTAAACCTCTCCCTAGAGCAAAACATGATCAACACCAGAACTGCATGGGTGTTCGATTCATCACAATGTAACTAGACTATTGACTCTAGTGCAAGTGGGAGACTGTTGGAAATATGCCCTAGAGGCAATAATAAAATGGTTATTATTATATTTCTTTGTTCATGATAATTGTCTATTGTTCATGCTATAATTGTGTTATCCGGAAATCGTAATACATGTGTGAATACATAGACCACAACACGTCCCTAGTGAGCCTCTAGTTGACTAGCTCGTTGATCAAAAGATAGTCATGGTTTCCTGACTATGGACATTGGATGTCATTGATAACGGGATCACATCATTAGGAGAATGATGTGATGGACAAGACCCAATCCTAAGCATAGCTCAAAGATCGTGTAGTTCGTTTGCTATAGCTTTTTTGAATGTCAAGTATCATTTCCTTAGACCATGAGATTGTGCAACTCCCGGATACCGTAGGAGTGCTTTGGGTGTGCCAAACGTCACAACGTGACTATAAAGGTACACTACAGGTATCTCCGAAAGTGTCTGTTGGGTTGGCACAAATCGAGACTGGAATTTGTCACTCCGTATGACGGAGAGGTATCTCTGGGCCCACTCGGTAATGCATCATCACAATGAGCTCAATGTGACCAAGTGGTTGATCACGGGATCATGCATTACGGTACGAGTAAAGTGACTTGCCGGTAACGAGATTGAATGAGGTATTGGGATACCGACGATCGAGTCTCGGGCAAGTAACGTACCGATTGACAAAGGGAATTGTATACGGATTGATTGAATCCTCGACATCATGGTTCATCCGATGAGATCATCGAGGAGCATGTGGGAGCCAACATGGGTATCCAGATCCCGCTGTTGGTTATTGACCGGAGAGTCGTCTCGGTCATGTCTGCATGTCTCCCGAACCCGTAGGGTCTACACACTTAAGGTTCAGTGACGCTAGGGTTGTTGAGATATTAGTATATGGTAACCCGAAAGTTGTTCGGAGTCCCGGATGAGATCCCAGACGTCACGAGGAGTTCCAGAATGGTCCGGAGGTGAAGATTTATATATAGGAAGTCAAATTTCGGCCATCGGGAAAGTTTCGGGGGTACTCGGTATTGTACCGGGACCACCGGAAGGGTCCCGGGGGTCCACCGGGTGGGGCCACCTATCCCAGAGGGGCCCATGGGCTGAAGTGGGAGGGGAACCAGCCCCTAGTGGGCTGGTGCGCCCCCCATGGGCCTCCCCTGCGCCTAGGGTTGGAAACCCTAGGGGTGGGGGCGCCCCACTTGGCTTGGGGGGCACTCCACCCCCTTGGGCGCCGTCCCCCTTGGAGATGGCATCTCCTAGGGCCAGCGCCGCCCCTAGGGGTCCTATAAATAGTGGGGGGAGGGAGGGCAGCCGCACCCTAGCCCCTGGCCTCTCCCTCTCCCTCCCGTGACACACCTCCCTCTCCCTGTGCTTGGCGAAGCCCTGCCGAGATCACCGTTGCTTCCACCACCACACCGTCGTGCTGCTGGATCTTCATCAACCTCTCCTCCCCCCTTGCTGGATCAAGTTGGAGGAGACGTCTTCCCAACCGTACGTGTGTTGAACGCGGAGGTGCCGTCCGTTCGGCCTAGGTCATCGGTGATTTGGATCACGACGAGTACGACTCCATCAACCCCGTTCTCTTGAACGCTTCCGCGCGCGATCTACAAGGGTATGTAGATGCACTCCTCTCTCCCTCGTTGCTAGATGACTCCATAGATTGATCTTGGTGATGCGTAGAAAATTTTAAAATTCTGCTACGTTCCCTAACACAGACACCATCAACGTTGATGCTCCTGAGAAGGATGCAGAGCACGTTCCTATGCTTGATAGGAAGAGGAAGCGGGCATGCTTCATGGAGGAGGAGCTGAGCGTCTTCACCAGCATGACCGAGGTAGTGAAGGAGATGGCCACCGTCATTAGGGAGAGCAAGAGTGTGGACGTCCACCCTAAGCTCTACAACACCGTCATGGATCAAGTTGGCTTCGGCCCAAAGGCTCTCATGGTGGCTCTTAGCCACCTGCTGGACAACAAAAGCCCAGGGGGTTGGGTTTGTTGCCATGGGAGAAGAGCACATGGTGCTCTGGCTGAAGACCTGGTTGGGCAAGCACTACTACCGGTGCTGCTTCAGATGGTGGCGACGATGTGCATGATCCTCGACGGCGATGGCGACAAGGACGAGGATGACGATGACAACGTATATTTTGTGTAGTTAGGGCTTGAAAACAATCTTATGGCGTGTATATTTTGGTGAGGTGGTATATACTAACCCTTCACGGTGATCCTCGCGGTGATCACGAATTTGCGGTGGTAGGATGACACCCTCTTTTGGATGTGGTGGTAGGATGACACCAAAGTAATGGTAGGTTGAACTTGCTATGATCATGCATGCTTACTAATGCTCTTCTGCTCCATTGCTTGCTCCTAGAGTTCTTCATTGCTTGCTGTTTGTGTGTTCCAATGCTTGTTGCTTGAACTTATTGCTCGTTTGCACTGCCAGGGCAAGTGGTATGTGGTGTTCGAAGGTAGGGTTCCAAGGATTTACAGTTCATGAGAAGTTTGCAACAAACAAGTTTCAGGGTAGAACAACAACAACCACGGAGGAGGGCTTAAGACTAGGCAGACGGCAGAAGATGCTTACTCTAAGTATGTGCGAGAGCATTCATGCAGCAAGGATGAGGTTGGCAAGAAGGTGGATCACCCGTTAGGGCTGAAGAATTTCATCATCTTCGTCCAATTTGTCGTCATAGCAGTGTTGTGGCGTTGGTATGCTTGGTGTGATTGTGTGTAAGGTGTTGATAAGCTCACCAAGTAGGGTACAAAGTGAGCACAACTCTATACTCATATATGTAACCAAACAACGTGCATCCGTGTGAGCACATGCATAGAGGCATCGTTACGATGCATGGAGATGACATGCAGGCAACCAAACTAAGTGCAGATGTTGGTTTTTGGCTTGCATTTGCTCAGCCAGATCCAACTTGGATATGTATGCAAATGGAAAAAAAACCATGCAGGTAACCAAACACGCCCTAACTATTATTGGACCCTGTACGGATGAAATAACTTTTTTTTTGAGAAACGTATATGGACGAAATAACTGGGCCTAATCTCATAGAAATTCCGCTTGTAGCCCAACTCAGCAAGTCAAGTCGGCCTGAAGCCCGAACGGTTATTCCGGGGAAGTAAGAAATTGGGTGGGGGAGTTATTTTATTTCGTTTACCCTTTTTTTACCTGTGGGTATCGCGAGCACGCCGCCCACCTCCCGCATCTCTCCCCCTCACGTCGCAAACCCTGTGTCGCCACCACCGCCTCCTCCTCTCGCGGCGACCCCGCACCACCCCGGCCCCCTCCTCCGGTCGGCGCCGCCCCGGTCCCCTGCCCGCCGCGGCCCCGTCGACGCACGCCCTCCCGCCGCCTCCGCCGCCTCCTCCTCCCTCCGCCGAGACATCTGCGGGTGCTCCTGCCCGCGCCGCCGTCTTCGACACCCGCCGATGCCACCGCGGTGCCTCGTCGAGAAGGGTAATTCGCTCTCGCATCCCCTCCGTTTCAAGGATCGGCTCCATTCTTCTTATTCCGGGATTTGAATCGTTGGGCGCCCAGATACATGCGCCTATAGGAAATAGAAATCTAAACTCCGTCGCGCGGGACTCCTGAAGGATCCTTACGCTTTCCGAGTGGATCCTATGGGCGCATTAATTCGTGGCCTGAGTTCGTCCTACCACGGGAGTTTTTCATAGGCATTGAAGCGGGTCGTTAGGGTTTTGATGGTACAAATAATTAATGGTACTGATTCCAGTACGCCAATGCCATCCCTCTGTGCCAGTAATGTACGTATAAACAATACCCTACAGTCCTCATGTGTTTTTGCCATAGCGGTATTCCGTAATTTTTTTGGGAGTGCGTTGTACTCATATGATTCATGTAAACTTGATTACTCCTGTGTATTCCAAATTTTTGCTTCATGGTGTATTTGCGTATTTTATCCAAAGGGACATCTGCTGTGTCTTGGTATCAGTCTCAGTATCATTGTCATATCTCTAGTCTTGAATTCCTGTGGCTAAGAAGTTGTATGTAGTATGTACTGCAAACTGTTGCATAATAGCCTATTACGTTTCTTATTTAAAATGTTAAGTACTCCCTCCGTCCCATAATATAAGAGCGTTAGTGTCAAAAACGCTCTTATATTATGGGACGGAGGGAGTAGCTGATTGCAAAACCAAGGTTTGTTTAGTACACGAGTGCAAACGCTTTGTGTTTACTGGCAAGAAATTTGCTTGGTGAATCAAATGGAACTGCAAGTCTTTATGCATATAGTCAATAAAGTGGTAACTTTACATATGACCATAAAGCTGAACTTTAATCATTTTATTACCATATTCTGTTTAAGACAGAGCTCCATTATCCGTTCAGTAAGTTTATTTTTGTTTGTTCTGCCATACATTTGTTTTCATATGAAATTTCTACATTCCTAAACCGCACTTTTGTTTCTAGGTGTTGAATAAGTCATAAGTGTTTATGGACTTCAAGCCAGTAGAGGATTTTTCCTGCACTGCTTATCCTGCTTTATTTCACAGTGGATTGGCAGATCAGAACTTATCAAAGAAATGCTGATGGATCCACCTGTTATGCAAGCGGATTGCCAACTACAGAATGACGTGGAGAAAATATCATCTATTTCTTATGATAGGAAGCATACCTTATCATGTAATGACCATGGGTGGCAAGCCTCCGATGTTCATCAGACAAATGCAGCAATAAGTTGTAACCCTGCTGAAGTTAACAATTCTTCTGGCTCGAGCACAGATGAGAAAGTAGATGGTTCCTCTGAAAAGTCTTCTGTTAGCTTGGATGGTTTATCAGAGGTGAACTTTTTTGTACCACATAAAGAAAAGAACGTCCAGGATGCTTACTTCAATGATGTAAGGTTTCAGTTGAATGCAAGCTTGGAAAATAATGGCTCCCCAGGGGATGCCAACTGCAGCAAACACTGCATCAATAAGGAGGATTTACACCATTCCCAGGAGGAGATGTGTTCACCGTCCAATATAGTAACTGGACTTAGGCCATGCCAGTCAAATGGAGATGTCCTAACTTCCAAAGGCAAGAAAATGACAGAAGTACAACTCAAATATAACATCAATGTTGATGCAGAAAGTAAGGAATTTGGGACTGACATTGCAAGTAAGGGAGTCGGGACTGACTTGGTAAACAAGGAAGTCGGCCACGATATGGCAGGATCTCATGATGCCCAAAAGGAGTTGCCGTGCCCACTTCAAGGTCTATCAGAAAGAGCATGCGGTGGGTTAGTAAGTAAAATATTTTCTCAGGAAGAGAATGAGACATCTGTCTCACCTAAAAACGGCATGGATATGCTTGTTCATAACAACAGTTGTAATGGCAATACTAATGATGTTGGCGGAGAGATGGATACAAGAAGTATTGAAGAAGATCATGCTGTGGCACTTTGGGTAAAGGTATGTCTATTTAGGAGTAGGTGATTGTGGCTGTGAACGTCATTGTATTAGGTCTTGATATTGAAATTATATGTCAAGTTGTGAACTTATACAATGAGAAACTAGCCCTGGAAAAGTCGTGGTTGTTCAATGTATACGCTAGATGTCTTGGGAGTAGGCGCCAAATTCACCATGCTTTTCGGAACTCCACCTCTGAATTATTTCAACTTACACCCCTATAGTCTGACCATCTATGTATATCCTACTTAAATGTTCCTATTTCGTACTAGATGCATCTATAAATGTATAAACTATACAAAGGCATTTCTTTTCCTTTTACAATTTTGTTAGTATTATCCCTATACACTATACAGAAAGCAGGTCTTTATTTGTGGCCTTATCTAAGATCTGTGATATATAATTTGCCTTCAAGTTTCTAAACATAGTGTAAATATTTTGTTCTGTTTACTCCATCCATTAGTTTATTATTACTGGACCATTCAAGTTACCAATGGGGTTTCCTGAATTGAAGCAAAACTATATATTGATCGCAAAATATGCAAATGAGGTGATTTTTATCTGACTAATCAGAGCACCACCATGGAACCCAAGCTCTTTTATTTCCCTGGTGGCTATGTCCTACTTTCTATTTTTTTGCATGTTAACCACTTCCTGCATCTCTAATGGCTCCACCCTGAACTATCGTTTTACTTCTTCATTTGAAAACAGTGGAGAGGAAAATGGCGAACAGGAATTCGATGCTGTAGGGCGGACTGTCCTTTGTCCACTCTCAAGGCAAAACCAACTATTGACAGGAAGACCTATATTGTTGTTTTCTTCCCACAAACAAGGACTTATTCTTGGGTGGACATGCTACTAGTCCTTCCTATTGATGAATATCCTGTGCCACTTGTGAATGGAACTCATCGCAAATGGCGAAAGATGGTGAAGGATTTGAGTGTTCCTCGACGATTCATCATGCAGAAGCTTGCTATCTCAATGCTAAACTTTAGCGATGAACTTCACACTGAGGTATGCTCTTCCCTTGCAGTATTTGTATTCATGTGGTATCATTTCTCTTGATACTGTTTATATGTTGAATAGGCCATAATTGAGAATGCTCGGAAGGCAACAGCTTGGAAAGAATTTGCTCGGGAAGCATCATGCTGTAGAGATTACACTGATCTTGGGAAGATGCTTGTCAAACTTCAAAAGGTAAATCCAAGGACCTTATTCCATATGCATATGTCACGGTGCCTTGTGCTAATTTGCACCTAGTGAGTTTCATACTCTTGTCATATTCTCCTATGTTTTTTTTTCTTGAGGCAATTACCTAAGCATTTTCCTTCTCATTTTTACTCATCGTGCAATGGAAAGATCTCTGTAACTGTTATATTTGTATATCCGTTCACCACCTTATGTGTGTACGCATCACCTACAGTATTTTGGTACTTTGTTTCCCAAGGCATTTTATATGGTAAATAACTTTGTGTGTTCTCCTGGTAGGTGACACTAATTGTTGTGTGCCTTATTCCTCTATTTGATGGGATCCAAAATGTTCCTATCGTGGTTCTAGTGTAATTGCCACAACTCTGTCAAGTCATGAAAAATAGCTCTTCTATGCAGCAGTTTTTGGCTATAACTTTGCAATATTTATACGAAAGGGCTAAATCAGCATTATTAGCAGTTGATTTGGACACTGCAAAGTAATTGTAATGAAAGACATATTATACGTGGGAAGTTGCTCAAGGTCCATTGCAGCTATGGTCATATAGAAATAAGACAGATAAACATAATTTTTTATTGCATGAGGTCAATACATCATTATCGGCGTTGTATTTTTTTTAAAAGCACAGCTGAGCAGCATGTTGTTCGTTATGTCCATCTATGCTTCACCCCACATTCACTGCTGATGCTGCAAAAATAATATAAATGCTTGAAGTAGCCTTTTCCTGGCGTTTCTTTGCATTATTTCACCTTTTCTTTGCGAGGAAGCATTGGTTCACCTTAGTTGTTTGATTTCAGATGATTCTTCCAGACTACACAAGCTCTCATTGGCTCCAAAATTCTTCTGACTTGTGGGGCCAGAAGTGTAATATTGCTCATGATGCTGAGACTGTTGAAATTCTTGCCGAGGTAATGTGGAATCCATTCGCCTTTAGGTCACATTTTTTGGAGTGTGATTAAGTTTGTATGAAATATTGTCATGCAGTTTTTTCAGTTTGTGACCAGGTTGCATGCTTACAAAACCTCAATTTACTTGTTTTCTTATGTTCATTATCGTTTCAGTCGAACTTAAATAAATATTTTAATATGATTGTACGGATAACAGTATGTTTACGGTGTTAACCTTGTTCTTGAGTTACGGTTACTTTTTGGAGAACGTGTTCTGTATTTAAGAGTTGACTATCAATAAGCTCATGAGTTCCTTGCGCAAGCTGCATAAATTTAGATGGAAAGATCGTAAATAATCATTTCTATGGTCTAGCTAGCCCAGTTCTACTCTCACAATATAGGCTGCTTCTGTGGCTTATAGTTAAACTTGCTCCCGTGCATTCAGCTGCAACATTTATGGTGGTGTCCATGTGTCAGCTGTTTGGGCTTCACTTGTGAAAATCGAAGATTTTCAAGTCGCAAATCCAGCTGACTTGCCACTGGATGCCTAGCCATCCAGTTTGCCGTGATTCACCACTTCTAGTCTTCACCCCATCCCAAACCAAGCCTGGCTAATTGTAAACTATTGTATCCATGATCATTTCTTGCCTACCAGAAGATACTCTGGCAACTGTTACCTTGTCACGAGCTTTTTGAGCCAATTTGTACTTGTACTCCACTTTCCTGTCTATATCCATCTGATCTTATATATTACATTTAAGATGGATAAACCCAGTAGGAAGTGTACTCTCGTGTGCATAATTTAACAGGGGTATGCATGGCATTACTCTTGTTAATGACTACTTTGTTTTAATGTTATTCCCTAGAGCTCAGTAATTTGTTTGGATTAGCTAATTTTCACCATCCCAGCCCAGCCCAGTAATTTGTTTGGATTAGCTAATTTTCATCATCCCAGCCCAGTATGGAAACACTAAATCTGAAACCGTTAATGAGAAATGACATGCATACCCCTGTTAAATGGCATGCTTCAACCATTTCTTCCGAAGCATTAAATTAGGGGTAGAGAGCGGAAACATCACATAAGATCTACTCATTTGCATTGAATCAGAGGAAGTATTGTGTTGATTGTGTATTAACATGTAGAAATGCCTGCTCTTTCCAAAATGAAGTAGATCACCTCTTACTGAATAGGCTATGCTAATAAAAGAAAAGAAGGCTGTTAAATTTCATGCTTTAACTTGAGCTCTGTGCAGCATCAAGTTTGTCAATGATGTCATTGCTGTTACACTATTAAAGTCTCTTTGCAGCAAAAATATAGGCCTCTGTTGTTGCTTTACCAATAAAAATCGCAAAACAGAAATTTAAGATTTACGCTACTTCTCTTGGCGTATATCGATTACTCCCTTTGTTAGATTTGGCATATGCTACTATTTCTTAGGCTTGTTAAAACTTGGCCAGCCTCATTAATTCTTTCCTTTTAACGCAGGAACTTAGGCAATCTGTTCTTTGGGACAAGGTCGATGAGTTGTGGAATGCACCAATGCAGCCTGAATTAGTACCAGAGTGGAAAACATGGAAACAAGAAGTCATGAAACAGTTCTTTTCATCACATGCTGTAGGTAATACGGGCAACTTTGATCAAAGCAATAGCTATGATGATCCAGGTATGGATCAACAAGCTCGCAGAAAGCGTCCCAAACTTGAAGTGCGCAGAGGAGAACCACATTTTTCTCACGCGAATGATGCTAACTGCAGCATTCTCAGCGAGGGCCTGAACGGTAATAACTTCCCTAGTAGACCTATCACTGATGGACATATGGAAGTGTTAGCATCAGTGGATCAGAATAACACTGTCACCTTCCTCAGTAATTCTGCCCCCCATGAGATTGCAGAATCAGGCCACATCAACCCAGCTTTACAGAATGCCAGACATGAGTTTGATTCCTTAAAGAATTCTCGTCAGTGTTCTGCATACATAGAAACAAAAGGAAGACAGTGTGGCAGGTGGGCTAATGATGGTGATATTTATTGCTGTGTGCATCAAAGCATGCACGACCGTTATTCTAGGGAGGACAGGGGACTTAGTGGTGATGCTTTAGTCTGTAGTGGTATGACTAATTTGGGCAGACAATGCAAGCATCGAGCCCAGCATGGTTCTATTTTCTGCAAAAAACACCGTTCCCAGACAAGCCTGGATACTGTAAGCTCTGATAATTTATTCAGTTCATCTGGGGGTCTCCATAAAAGGGAAGAGTCTCCAAAAGGAATGGAAAAGAATTCCAACTCAAGTGCAATATGCATTGTGGATGCAGAAAGGGCCAGTAGTTCCCAAGTTCCTCTTCAAATGCAATTGACCTCGACCATGGCTGCAGAGATTTCAGGTGATAAAGCTTGTGGATTGGAGAACCCTGATATGTTCTACCCCATGGCAACTTCCATGGCAAAAGCTAATTCAGATACTGATCTTTGCATTGGAATTCTTTCTCATGACAATATTGTTGAATGCCAGGATTATGCTAAGCGACACACTCTTTACTGTGAGAAGCACCTTCCAAAGTTCCTTAAACGTGCCAGGAACGGAAAGAGTCGACTCATATCTAAAGATGTTTTTATCAATCTATTGAAGGGCTGTGCATCAAGGCAAGAAAAAATATGTTTACACCGGGCATGTGAGTTTCTTTATTGGTTCTTGAGAAACAACTTCTCTCGTCAACAATCTGGTCTTGGTAACGACTATATGCCTCAGATTCTAGCTGAAGTGTCCAAGGATACTGATGTTGGAGAATTTTTGTTAAAGTTGATCTCTAGTGAAAGAGAAAAACTCACAAATCTTTGGGGCTTTGGTACAAATGGATCTCAGCAAATAAATCCTGATAACCAAGAGGGATCTATGATAGTGTTGCAAGAAGAGAAAACTAATCATTCAGCTGGTTTGAAGTGCAAAATATGTGCCCAGGAGTTCTCTGATGATCAGTGTCTCGCGTTACATTGGACAGAAGTTCACCGAAAGGAGACCCGATGGCTGTTCAGAGGGTATTCTTGTGCTGTTTGCATGGACCCATTTACCAACAGAAAAGTTCTTGAAAAACATGTACAAGAAAAACATGGTGCTCAATATCTCCAATATTCGATTCTCTTCCGATGTATGTCATGTGACAGCAACTTCTTGAACATGGATCTGCTATGGCAACATATTGTTTCAGATCATGCCCATGAGTTCGGGCTTCTTGATGCCCCACAACGACCTAAAGGTCAATCTGTAAGAACAGAAGGGACAAGTTTCAAGGCCCTCTATGATAACCATGACCTCGGGAAGGATGATGGCTCACAGAAGTTGACCTGTAGACTATGTGGGTTGAGATTCGATCTACTGGCAGATCTTGGCCGCCACAATCAAGTTGCTCATATGGACCAAGGTACAGTTGGCCACATTCCACCAGGACGTGGGAAGTATCAACTTAACCGTGGTCGACACTACTATTCTGCATTCAAGAAAAACCTACGACCATCAGGTTCATTAAAGAAGAGGAGTAGCTCAGGGATTGAGAAACATTTTGATATTTCAAGCTCTGATCTATCTATGATAACATCGCAAGTTGCGGAACCTGAAACAGCTAACCTTGGTAAGTTAGTGGATTTCCAATGCTCAGATGTGGCTCAAATTTTATTTTCAAAGATTCAAAAGACAAGACCCCATCCAAGTAACCTTGATATTTTATCCGTGGCCCGTTCTGTATGCTGTAAGACAAGTCTTCTTGCTGCATTGGAAGTGAAATATGGAACAATGCCTGAAAACATATTTGTGAAAGCTGCAAAGCTTTGTAGTGACATTGGCATCCCAATCAATTGGCATCAAGAGGAATTCACTTGCCCTAAGGGATGCAAATCTGGATATACTTCAAATACCCTGCCACCTTTGCAGCTTACCCATGTTGATTTCCCCACAGTAGCTTCTGTGATGAATCCTCCAGAAAATGATGGAACGTGGGGTATGGAAGAATACCATTATGTTCTTGATTCAGAGCACTTCATGTGGAAGCTTAAAAATGAGAGGGTTGTTCTTTGTGAAGATGTAAGCTTTGGCAGGGAGAAAGTTCCAATTGTCTGTGCAATTGATGTTGATGCAAAAGAATCTCTCCATATGAAACCTGAAGAATTATTGCAGCATTGCTGTTCTGTGCCATGGCAAGGTTTTCATTACGTCACAACTCGTTTGATGGATTCATCTCTTGTTGATTCAGAGGTACTCTTTTGGAACCAGTTGTCATCTTTAAATGGTAGCATATATATTCCGCAAAGGGGGCTTGGTCTTCTTCCTTTGTTTTCCTTCCCATCCATGTAGATTTGGTTTATTTATATTTATCTAATCAGTTTTCTAATAAATTATGTACCTGCAGAGTTACATGGTTGGCTGTGTGTGTTCTCATGCCCATTGCTCTCCTGAGAAATGTGATCATGTGAACCTCTTTGACAGTGTTTATGAGAACCTAGTGGATATGTATGCTATGCCAATGCATGGCAGATTTGCGTACGATGAAAATGGCAAAATCATTTTGCAGGTACTAATTGTTGACATTGACACATATTTTATTATAGATGTAATGTAAGAGTTGAAAAAAAGCGCACTAAACAAGTAAACAACTGTCCGTAATATCGTGATTATTCTGCACTTAGCATACCATTGATAGGGTGGTTGATATCATGATATGTGATCAGCAGGCAATGTAATTTGTTATCTTTACGAGTCTAGAAAGGCAATGTAGTTTGTTATCTTTATGTGTCTGATACCATGTCCATGTGTATATTTTCACGCACTCTTGTACAGTGTACCATCCACAATGATCATTCTGCATACATATACTGCTTTATATTGTCAAAGCAATCTCATCTGTGTCACATAAGGTTGTAATTGTGTCGAGACTCAAAGGCTTGCTTTTGTCCTCCATACATTGTGAGCTGCTCAAACAATGCTGTACAGGTCCTTGGAGACCACCATTTACTGTTTCTTACATCCATGGCGACTATTTTTGAACCATGAGAGCATATCATTATCGTCCCATGTGCTTTTTCGCGACTTAACTTATTTTATTTGTTTGAAACTTTCGGCAAATGTCAAATTTGATGTGCCTGACCCATGGCTTGAGGCCTGAACGATGTAGAGTTGCTCTGTGTGTCTGCGTGTGAATCTTGTTCCACTGAGTTCTTCTATTTAAAAAATGTCACATTTCCATCCTCTAGTATTATTTTCATCCCTGATATTGTATATAGTTTGATGCGTGTGCATGTTTTGTCGAATTGGCAGGAAGGATATCCGATATACGAGTGCAATTCACTATGTACCTGTGATGCATCCTGTAAAAATAAAGTTTTGCAGCAAGGGCTGCTGGTTAAATTGGAACTCTTCAGAACTGACAATAAGGTGAAATACATGCAACCTGGCTTTGGTTTCACTGAACCCTGCTCAGTCCTTTGCTGTTATTATTAAACATGCTTCACAAGTCATACTTTAATGTTTTCGAATGCTTCAGGGTTGGGCTGTTCGAGCTACAGAACCTATTCCACAGGGTACTTTTGTGTGCGAGTATGTTGGGGAGGTTGTGAAGGATGATGAGACCATGAGAAACACAGAAAGGTCTGTTAATTCTTTCTCATGCCTTACTGTAGTTATCAGATGTACAGAATTAGTGAACATGGGCATCATTGATAATTTCATGTTTAGTTTGATATCCACTGTCTGGTACTTGATGATTATGATTACTCTTGTTCTCCAATCTTGAATCCAATTGGTATTTTCATGTACAATTTTCATCGTATGAATTCTCATCCTGCAAAAATCCGACCTCAATTGCAGAGCAATGTCATGCCATTTCCTATACTATAGGAATTGTTGATGTTTTATGTTCTTGTGAGTCGTTTTTTTCCTTATAGAAAATTGACAAGAAAGTACCTGAATTCCAGTGAGTCAAAAAGTGGGTGCAGCTACCTTCTTGATATCGCTTCGCATATTGATCGGGAAAGAGTTAAGACTTTAGGGACTACGCCATACATGATTGATGCTACAAGATATGGGAATGTCTCCCGCTTTATTAATCATAGGTAATTGGACTATTTTATATGTATTTTAGGAGCATCTATACCACTGGAGCAAACTAATTCTGAAGCAATGCTCATTTGTGTGTTTCTTCATGACAGTTGTTCGCCTAACCTTAGTGCCCGCTTAGTTCTGGTGGAAAGCAAAGATTGCCAACTTGCTCATGTTGGATTGTTTGCCAGTCAAGATGTAAGAATATTTTAGCTGTACTATTTCAACATAAACAGCAGTAAAATCTATACTTATTTTGTTTTTGCTAATTGTTGCTACTGTTTTTCTCCAGATTGCTGTTGGAGAAGAATTGTCCTTTGATTATCGATGGAAGCTGCAATCCGGTGATGGCTGTCCCTGCCATTGTGGAGCTCAGAATTGCCGAGGTCGTGTTTATTGAATTTGCAGGGTGAGAAAATAAAAGGAATGATCCATTGCTTGTAGCACATCTTCAGAAGCTCGTAGAATGGTGATCACTTGGCAACTATTAACATTGTTTTTCCTAGAGCTTGAATGCAGAGGTAGGATCCTCATTCTTGATGCAACCAATTGAGTGCAGGGGTAGGGTCTCATTCTGCATGCCGCCACCGAGTAGTGTTTGTGATATAGGACTCTCACAGCAGTGACACTAGGTACACCATAGCATTGATTTTAGTCATGGCAACATCATGCTTAACTGACGATTTGTTAGAAGCAGCCCGAAATTAGAGTGATTCAAGCTTCATTTCCGCAGGCGAGAATTCAGCGTCTTTGTAAAATATGTTCATTCAATTTTTACTGCTCTTGAGCTCCCATCATCGAAGTTGAAGCAAAGAGTCTGTACTTGTTAGTGAGACTGTTGGTCATGGAGTTTTGATTATGTTGCGGTGCCTGTTTTCGGAAATTGTTATGCACTGTAATTATGGATTTGTGGATCTGAAAAGAAGGAAATCAATTTGCAATCGTTCTTAATTATGGATTATATCTGATCCGTGATTCTGATCCATGGTTCTCAAATCAAAAAATGAAAAATAAAATCTGATCCGTGATTCTGTGGTGATAGTTTAATGTGTCGTCCCAAATACGATTGCTTCGTAGTCAGACGTGACAACGGGGACACCAGTGCTGTGGAATGTGGCTACGGGACGCTGTGCCTTTCGTTGGACGCATCTTCCGAACCACATAATTAAAATGCATGGTTAATAACCTGGTGGTGTATACGGAGTCCTTTTTTGCCCTCTCGCAACAGCATAGCACCGGCGAGAACGGATACCTCTGGATATTCAATTCATGTTTTGGACGGACAAGTTTTCCGCGCAGGACAGGGACGGTAGCAGAGAATGCGACGGGGAATGAAGGGAGGGCAGAAAGCGGCCGGGTGATTCCCATTGACCACCTTTCTCCTAGCAACGGATGACATGCGCTCCATGCTCTCCTGTTTTGAGTTTTTTTTTTTTGCGGGGACTCCTGCTGTGAGCTAGCGACTCGCAAAACCACTAAACCCTCAACACACAAAGTCTAAGAGGTTACATGAAAAACCTCCTGTAGTTAGGACTTCCCGACTATTTACTACAACAATGTTTGTCCGACTCTCGACGAGGGAGGGGTGATGATGGCGGCGTGCCTTTAGCTCGCTTCAGTGCAAATTTTACTTCTGGTGTTCTTTGTACTACCTTGACAGTTGATGAATAGATCGGAAGTTTTCTCGCAAAAAGAAAAGAAAGGAAAAAAAAGAGTGTGTACCGCTCGATGTCAACAATAGATACATTCTTATCCAAGAGGTAAATTTGTGTGCGCAGTGAGCAAAGATAATATGGTAGCAGTACCTCAGGCTGGCAGGATTATCAGTCACCACAAGGCATGATTCCTATCTTATCCGAGGTAAATTTGCGTGGGCAAGTAGCAATGGCAATCTTTTAGCTAGGGATAAATAAACAGGATAAGCGGAACGCCACTTTGAAGGGTGTACCGGGAATCTCATTCACCCGTGCTTTTTGCATATCTGCTAGATTATGGATCTTCTGCTTTTACAAAGGAATCATCTCAAAGTTAGGACATGTACATTGAAGGTCGCAATACAGTAACGTCGACTAGACCCACGTGTGTTCACGGCAATCACTTGGTAAAACATCAGCTGATAAGGAGTAGATCACGGTTTGCACCACTCAAATTGAATCGAGCTGTGGAAATATCGGTCCTATTCTGGAGCATTCGATAAACAAAAAGTTACAGAAACACCAAACTAAACTTTGCAACAACCCTTGACATTGGCTCGATTGGACCCCACAATGCTTAATGAACATAAGAAAATATAGTGAGCAACATAATCTAGATAGATGATCAAGCTTAGACATTTTCACAGGTGAAAATGTTAAAATGACCTATATTTTGATCTTTTTTGCTTTACAAGGAATCATCTCAAGTTGGCATATACATAAATAATATTGAAGGCTACAATGCAATAACGTTGACTAGTTCCACGTGTGGTCACGCAGGGAGCACACTAGCCACTTGGTCAAACATCAGTTTACCTTAATTACAGTACACACCACCCGTACCAAAGCAAGTTGCACGGATATTCGCCCTTTGGGAACATCCAATAAAAAGAAGTTGCACAAACATCAAATTGCACATTGCAACAACATTTGGAATCGACTCAGTTGGACTTGGACCCAACGACTTGTCCTCTACCCCACCCATTCCAAAATTTATGTCTTCTAGGACACTGACACAATCTTCAAGCCAGTTTCTCTACAAACATCTTGTCTTGCATAAAATAATTATAAATTATAAAACTATTGTTCACAATAAATCCAGGAATTCTATTCTTTTAGATGGTCAAGCTTAGAAGTTTGGAAGGGCGAAAATTAAAAAAGTGGCATATATTTTGGACATGAGATAGTATTTCGAGATCAAGAGAGCTTTATTCATTTGACAAAGGGTTTGCCTACAACCATCATCAACAACATGAACAATTGGCAAATGGACCTACTGGTGCCACACCTTGCTAGTTGCGGGTATCATTGATCAGAGCATATATAAGTATCACTCTCATGAGTCATCTTCTGTTCTGTTCCCCCGTGCTCATTTATATTTCATATTGTCTCCAAAGATACTTATTTTAACTCTGCTTTTGAATCACCACGAGCATAGTAGCACAATGGTGGAACTAGAAATTATCACATGTGGCTACCAGAGGCTTGCAATCTACAATGTAAGACCCTTAGAACAATAAATCGGGTTTTTGCTCCGGTGCAGGCACTTATTTAGAGCAGGTGCTTATTTAGACATATTTTTCATAGAAATTATCATAAGTGCTTAAGAAAAAACCTGTTTATTTTTATAAACTACTCCGTCCGTTCACAAATATAAGATGTTCTAACTTTTTTTTTCGAATAAGATATATATAGACATGTTTTAGTGTGTTTGTTCACTCATTTCAATCCATATGTAGTCCATATTGAAATGTCTAAAACATCCTATATTTGTGATTGAAGGGAGTAGCTAATACCATGTGCCGTCATGTGAGAATTTATAGCAATAAATTTACTAAGAATAAAATTAGAATATTGCCCCTTCACATTCTCGACATATACAATGGTAGTAGACCTAGCAGCAAATGGAGGTTGGCTTGCATGTTATAGTTCATGATGACCTTCTATCTTGGGGGCAATGATTTGCTGTTGGAAAAAATGGTGATGGTGGGGGCTTTGCCTGTGCTCGATAGCAAGTCCTGAAAAAAGGAATATGAAAGGATTGAATGTACCTAATGATGTTGAGGCCTATGTGGCATGTGTGTATGTTGACAGAAGTAGAAGTAGTGGGGGTCAACTATTTAGTTATAATAATAGATGATACTGTTGATGTGAGAATTGGTCGCAATATATTTAAATGGGATTTAGTTGTATGAAATGTGAATACTTAGATTAATAATAATAAAATTCCTGCGGATATTCCTTATAATTAAGTTCCAACAGAAATCCTGTTGGGATGTGATTTCTTCCTAACATCCCCAGCTAATATGATGTGCCTATTATATGAATATTTATTGGGCCCTAGATATCAAGGGTTTGTAGTGTCATAAGAATCCTCCGTCGGTATTTGAGAACCAAGGTATCAAATCCGTGAATACCCCCTACAAGCCAATGACCGGCGTTGCACACAACTAGAGAACTTCTTTTGGTCCCCAACTTAGTCTAGTGCGATTGCTAATCTCACTAGCTTTGCTAGTTACAAGAATTAATGTATTTAGTCGTTGGAACTGTTTTTTTTTTGTTTGCAAAGGAAAGATCCATAATTTCACCAGTGGCATCTCTCCAATGCAGCATATGTGTGGTGAACAAATTACAGTTGCATATTGATTATCGCAGTTTTATATTTGATCATACATGTCATGATTGCACATAGGCATTACATCCTTACATCTCTATAGACTATTATCTAACTGCATCTATAGCTAATATTCCACTCTGAAACCACTATCCAATATGCATCCCAAAGTATCAAGTAAAATCAGAGCATTGCGTTAAGCAAGATTCTTTTGCGGGGGATTTTTTTGGCGGGAATGCATTAAGTAAGATGACATAATGTTGATAGTGTATTCTATATTTCTATTTACTTCTAATTCATTACCGAGACAACTAGGCAACTATCTTTTACCCGTAGTGACAATAACACACAATAAGCCTTGTCACTGAGATAGATTACTTGCAAGGTTAAGACCTCCGCAGTAGTTCCATCAGTATCCTCAATGTTGCCTCCCCTTCCCTTTCCACTTAGTAGTAGCGGAAGCCTAGCCACATAACACCAACAGAAACCTCCAGTAGCAATAGTACCTACCAGCACCACCTCCATCTTCCTCTGACCAGGCCATATCGTGTTCTCTCGCTCAACCTCGCCACACAACTCGCACGCCGCCTCCTCGTCTCCCTTGCTCGTGCGCAGCCGCTGGCATAGCTCCCCGCCAGCTGTGAGAGTCTAGCTACTGCACAACCGCGAGAGGGATAAATAGGAGTCCCTGCCACTGCCTCCCCATCAGGCCTCGTCTCATGTTGAATCAAGAGACGGATCCGTGTTTTCCCCGCGCGCGCCTGTGTGTGTGGCAGCGCCCCCGAGCAGATAATGCACACCCCCTCTGCCTCTAGGTCTAGCACATGGGCTGGGCCCTATGGGCCTAAGTGAGCATGGACTGGGCCCATGTCAGTTCAACAAGCAGCTCATGCGATCTTTGTATTAAAGAACA